AGTTCATTCATTTGTGAAATATCTATTCATTGTCATTGACAGAGGCTGCTAGGTGGCACAATGGATTGAGTGCTGGGCCTGGAGATGGAAAGACTTGAGTTCAAATCCAACCTTACACACTTACTAGCTGTGTCACCCTGGGCAAATCACATCCCCTGTCTGACTCAGTTTCCTCAACTGTAAAATGGGATAGTAATAGCACTCCTCCCTCCCCCAGGGTTGTGAGGATCAAATGAGATATTTGTAAAGCACTCAGCATAGCGCCTGGTACTTAGCAGGTCCTAAATAAATACTTGTTTCTTGACCCCCACTCCTAGTTCAGCAGTCTGTGATCAATTTTAATCCAACTTTTAGAGAGCAACAAATATCCTTCGTCCTCTGAAAGATTTAGGATATTCACTTTAAATGATAACTAGGCTGATGGGGAAACTGATACTCAGAAAGATTAAGTTACTTGCACAAGCTCACACAGTTGGTTAGTGGTGGAGGGAAGGCTAGAACTCAGGTCTCCTGAGTCCTATCTAATGTTATTTCCATTACCCTGTTGCCTAATCATGCCCCAATAAAAGGACTAAAGTATAAGGTCAGAGAATTCTCCAAAAATAACCTCCATTCTCATTGCTTTTCCCTTTCTACTTTTTATTTTCCAGAACAGGATTCTAAAAATTACTTAGGCTGGGCTAATTCAATTCATCAAATATTTATTATGTGCCTACTTCATGCTAATCATGGTAGACATCATTTTAAAAAAAACAAAACAGCACCATTGTTTTAATAGCAGTTTGATGAGAAATCTAGGCAAGGCATCCTAAAAAAAATATGAAGCAGAGTACACAAAAAGTAAAAGCATCAGAGTTAGTTCTTCTTTTATTGGAATGTGTAACAATGATTTCAAATAACCTGTGTTATTTAGATGTAGGGTTTTGATTAGATTGTCTGCTCACAGTTTTTCAAGCCTCCAGATTGCACCTCTGGGACGTGTTAGGCCACACAAAAAGAAACAAAACTTTTTCTTAAAATCTATGTTTAGGTTCTATTACAGCCAACTCCAAGATAAGTAACAACATCATTAAGCAATAAATGTTAGAAATTTATCCCTAGTGCTTATGAACAAATACTTAATCACATTTCTTTTTGAAAGGTCTCCCCAGAAATTTTTTAGAAGTGGTCTTATCCCCTCAAAATAAATATGTAGGTAGGAAGGGGAGCAGATATGGGAAAAGGGAAAGGGAAGAGAGGAAGAAAGAAAGAAGGAAGAGAAGAAATCTCAGAACTAATTAAATGTTTTTATTTTTATTTTTCTATTCTAGTTTGGATAATATTATGTAATGTAATCTTCTGAATTTCTGAGAGGCAAACCTTCCTTCTTGCCTCTCACTGATCCCCTACGAGTGTATGTCCAGCTGCCCCTGGAGGATCCCTAATCTGACATCACAGATGTACTCATGAGCTGTGGAGCAGCTGAGAAGAGCCTTTTTTGTACTCTGAATGTCAGTACATAAAAATGATTGCTCCAAACAAACAGCCTTTCCCTTTTGCTTCCTTCCCTGCTTCAAGTCATACCTGCAAATGAGGATATCCAGTATATGAAAAACACAGCTCAGGCTACTTAGTGTTCACCTGTTACACTAGTGGGGAGGAGGGGAAAGGGGGCTGGGATGGCGCATTCTCCATTCCCCTTCCTTCATAAACGTGGAGAGGTGCATTCTGCCAAGGGATGACAATTCATCAACTCAACTTGATTTGTCTCTTGGTGGATAATCAGCTGAGCAGAGACAACCAGAGCCTCTAATTTTGAAGAGTCCCAGGTGTTTGGTTTTCGGGGTTGGAGTGGGAGGGGGGTCTCATCATTGAAAAAACAAGATCAGGGCTGGCCCTATCCGAAACAGTAAAAAAACAGGTGAACTTAGTCTTTGGCACAGACTCTCTGACCTTTACTTTTTGTTTTCCTCTTCAGTGCCCCTCCCCCTCTTCAGGCACCCTGTGCCTTCATCCTCTTTTCTCCCTACAATCCTTTCACTCTCAGATCAAAGACTCCTAGAGATATTTACATTTGAACAGGAATCAGAACCTTAAATCAAGAGGCTGGAAGACAAATTCACAGATGATTTCAGAGACTTCCTGGTCTTGACTATTCCTCTAAAGAAAATCCACTGGATGCTTTCTGGATGAACTAAGAACCTAGGTCCCTTAATAAACTCAAACTTAATGGAAACTAATCAAGTACATTCCTTTTAAGTTGGAATTAATTCCTTCAGTTTGAGTGAAAGTTAAATGTAAAACCTGAATCTCTCAGTGGTCACCTAAGCACTCAAAAGGGCCTTGCTTCAAAGGTAACAGTAAAAATAATAATAATAAGAGTACCTCTGGATCTACCTATATTAACCACAAGTGTCCTCATTAACAGAACGAAAACATTGAGAAAGGTGAGAAAGCAATGATGTCAAGCATATAGCTAAAATCTTTAATAGTTCAAAATACTATAAACAATAATTTCAGAAAATAGTTTTCTTACTTGAGCCTCATGTGGAGTACGTGGACACTAAGCTTTTTAAGTGAACATGTGAAAATAAAAATTTCATTTGAATTACAATTGTCTTCATAAACTATCTTTCTATCATTGGTACATGAATTGGCTGAGGTCAAAGCTTGCACAAAAATATGGCCACACAAAACATCAAAAATGGCCACAGTAACCAGCCAAGTCTAATCCAGTATAAACAAAAGCTTTAAAACCCTCTTAATCTAATAAACTCGACACATTTTTCATATGGATTCTTTACCTTCACTACTCACAGCATATATATTTGTACAGCATATATATTTCTGTTCATCTTTAGAGCTTGGCTGTTTCATATGGAACAGTAGCATGGTATAGACCACTGAACTTGGGCTTAGGAAAGTCTAAGATACTCATGCTTACTAGGTGTGGGACAATGATAACCTCTCTGAGCCTCAGTTTTCTCATCTATAAAATAGGGATAATTATGCTTGTAGTACCTACCTACAGGGTTGCAGTATGGCTCTATAAGGAAACATAAAGTGCTTTGTGGCAAGTAAGGTGTGTAAAATGATTAGCAAACTTTAAAGCATTATATAAATATCAGCTGTTATTATAGAGATAAGAAATCAAGGATGGAAATGATATGTTTTTCTCTTGATGTACTCCTAGTACTATGTTATCGTAACTGGTGTTTAGTCAATACTTTCTGATCATCTGTTCACCCTTTCTTATTTTGTCTTCTGCTGACAAATGTCATCTTATATACCTAATTAGGGGTGTCAACAAATGCCTCATACTCCATCTGGTGACTTTTTATCAGGGGATATTTCAAAGCCTATAGATTTTTAACAGCAGTATTCCTTTTTTCTGAGTACCTCCTTATCAGTAATTGTCCTAAGGATGAGGACTACTACGTTACTAAAGGCACAGGAAAGGGCAGTCTTAGCCTTGCCATGGATTACTATAGACAATGTAAACTATCAAATCCTTCAGAAAACCATCCACAAAACAGGGTTATTACTTTCCTAAAACAGCACCTTCCTGTCAACTAGTAGCAATAAAGAAAGTCAAGTCAGATTCAGTAGATCCCTCTTGTTAACTTTCCAGGAGTAAGAGAAAGAGAGAAATCAAACGCTCTGGTTCAGGATTTCAGCTTTCCCTTGGAAGCAATGATGAAAACTGTCTAGCTTTTAGCCATTGCTTCTCTATTATAAAAACTTAGCGGGCAGTATCCTGTAGTGGAAAGAACAGGACCAGCAACCTGTGGGGAAGCCTCCTGGCTTTACCAGGTGTGTACATTTGAACAAATGACTCCATTTCTCTGGGTCTGTTTCCTTCTCTATAAAAGGAGATAATAATACTTATACTACTTACCTTTCAAAGTTGTGGGGAAAGTGTTTTATAAATCCTGAACTACTACATACTGGTGAGCTATTATGCAAATTTCCCAACCCAGGATTAACTGTAATATGTTAAGTCCTCTTCCATTTTGGATTCAAGAAGACAGGCATATAAACACACACATACAAAGTAGACAATATATCATCTGTATAGTATCCATCTGATTATATATATATATATATATAAAAATACATATCCATATAAAATAATTTACTATATATATTATACACAGAAAGGGAGGGCAGTACTGGAACCCAAGCTGGACTTAGATGAGGAACACCGGGGCTCAAGGTCCCATTCTGCTGTTTGTTAGCTGTGTGACTTAGGACAAATCACTTAATTTCTTTGACCCTCATTTTTATCATAGGTAAAATGCTCTATGCTATGTACCTTGCAGGGTTGTTGTAAAAAAGCAAAGGAAGTGAAGTAGGTGAGGTGAGGGCTTTCTAGAAAGTACATTTCCCAAAATGTGTGATGGAAAAAGAGGTAAGGCCAGGTAACTAAAGTCACTATGGTATATAACAGGTGGATTAACACTGGTACTCAATCAGGTTAAAAGTCTTAGAAGAAATCTTCCCATACATTTAGAATTGATCCTTTGCAAAGAACTCATGGTAAGACAGTAATAAAAACTGCCAAGGCATGAATGGACTCTTGCAGGGTCCATCTAGAGGAGATCCACTGAAGTGTACAACTACATGAATACTATAGCAGCCACAAATAAGCCTGTACTGAAGGTTGCATTTGTAATGGTGTCCATTCCTTCCAAAATGATGGGTCATAGCAGTATTTCCATTAAAACACCTAAATTAACTGCGAATGGCAAGATTTCATCACATTTTTTGGTTGGAATTGAGGGTGGTATAAGACCACACCTATTGCTGTTGTTCTTATCACTTCATCACCAAGGTTCACCTCTATGCATCAAATAAAATGTCTTTCTCACTAACTTCCAAAAGCGAAAACCACAAAGAATAAGATGAGTAGTCTCACAGGTACTTCAGGCTTATCACCTTCATTCACGTCTAGTAACAATTTTGGAGCACCTCCAAGTCCGGTCACCTCACTTCTATCCCTCAGCTCCACTTACCTCGGACCAGCAAGCCTTCCTCTTCAGACCTCAGTACACTGAGCACCTCTCCCTCCAATCCCCTTAGAAATCCAGGAGGAAAGGGGGCCAGGACTCATTTCTCTTAAGAATAATAGCTAGCATTGATCTGTTGACGGAAAGCTTGCAGAACACTTTATCTACGTGATCTCATCTGATTCCAAGGTAGGTGCTATGATTATTCCCATTTTACAGAGGAGGCAACTAAGGCTCAGAGAGCCCAAGGCCACACAGCTAGTCTGTGTCTGAGGCTCATTTGAATCCAGGTTCTCCCGACCCCAAGTCGTGCTCTGTGCACTTCACTGCACTTGTTCTGTCAAGGGAACGATCCCAGAGGGTGCGGGAGGTCCATGACTATAATGCCTAGCCCTGACGGCAGGGCAGCGTCCTGTGCCCACTTACCTCGCTGACAATAGTGGTGTGGGACTGGCTGTACTTCCAGTTGCCCTGGCAGGAGACCAGGGGAGCCGTGCGGTTGGGGAAGAAGGCGAGCGGGTCGCTACAGCTGAGACCTCCCTCAGCAGCGTCGGCGGCGTCCGCAGCGCTGCTCCAGTTGGCAGCTTCCAGCTCGTAGCGCTCACAGCGCCCGTCGGAGCGGACTCCCGACTCCAGAGCGCTCCGCGGGGGAGCCGTGCGGTTCCATTCCTCCTCGGGGCTCCAGCCGCAGCGCTCAGCCAGCTCCGCGGCGCTGGGACCCTGGCACCAGTGGTGGTCCGGGCTGATGCCTAGGAAGACCACGCTGACGAAGAGGAAGGCAAAAGTGATGCCCGTCAGGCACATCAGCAGAAACACCCGCCGCTGGAAGCGCCCAAACTCGCCCGCCTTCTGCAACACCTCGTCGAAGGAGGGCATTGTGCAAAAGAATTCAGCCTTCTCCTCTTCTTCCTCTTCCTCTTCCTTCTCCTCCTTTTCTTCTTTCTTCTCCTCAGCCGCTTCTTCTTTCCCTTCCTCCGCTTCTCCGGGACCCGCGTGGCTAATGTGCACTCTGGACCGCCGCTGCTTCTCCTCCAACTTTGGTATAATTCCCCCGCGGCCCCCCTCCCCCACCCTTTGGGTGCAACTCTGCTGCCCGGAGGCAGTTTCCTACAAGTGATCCCCACGCACCCAAGTCTTTTTTTTCCCACCCCCTCCCACCTCCAACCGCGTCCCTCCCTCACAACTCTGGCATCGTGCCAAGAACCAAGTCTCTTTTTCCCTTTCCCACCCCAGCAGCCCACAGCCTTACCTTCGGGGGTGGGCACAGAAACCGGGCAGAGGCAGCGTCAGGTGGCCAGCTTAAAGGCGCAGCTGCTGCCCTGGACACTGAATGCTCGAAGAGGTGGGAGGCGGGGAATGGGGAACGAGGAGCGGCCCCCTCTGGCCAGCGGCTTCCTGGGCTAGGTGCCCTAGTGCGGCCCTTTTGCGATAGGCTCCAGTTTCAGGAACAATCTGGGTCCCCACTATGTTTCAGAGCCACTAAGTAGAACGACTCTTTCTTTAACCTCTGGCAGCTCCGACAGCCTGAGTACAATCTTTACATCTAAATTGATGACAGTTTATCTGTCCCTAACCGTTTCTTCTTTATGTTTTTCTGTTTCTTCTCATCAATACAGATGTATATACACATATGTATATACATATGAGACTCAAGTCTATGACTGCTGTCCATATATATGCATGTATGTATATGCAACTGCAAATCTGTGTCCTCTGGGAAACTATTAAATCTTAAAACTGCATGAAGACTTTTGAAATACCTTGTATATCTCTAGTTATACTTACATCTGTATGCATACCTGTGTGTGTGTATACAGTATGGCCAAAGGAGCTTAAATGTTTGGTAAGAGATAGATAGATAGATAGATAGATAGATAGATAGATAGATAGATAGATAGATAGAGATAGATCTATCGACAAAGCAGGTTTCCCTGGCCTCATGGAGCTGACAGTCTAATAGGTTATAAAACATCAACAGATAAGTTTACATTATCAGCTACTGGAAAAGAGCAAAAGAAAGTGCTTTGTGAGGACAAAGGGAAGGAATGTCATTGCCAAATTGAGGCCAGGGAAGACTTCATTCAGCAGGTGGGCTTTTGCATTTTGTTTTAAAAGACGGGAAGGAATTTAACTATTAAACAGGATGATGGAAGTCATTCTATTCTTTGGAGATAATTTGCCTAGATATAGACCAGAAATTAGCGGATTTTGACAAAAGCTCGGAATTCTTGCGAGAATAACACTAGAAATCTAGACTGATGAGGTGGTACTAGGTTGTGAAAAGCCTTGAATATACATCCGAGGTGATCTTCTGACCATGTCACTCCCTTATTCAACAAACTCCATTGTACTCTGTTGCCTTCAGGATCGAATATAAAATCTGTTCTGGATTTTAAAGCCTTTCATACCTGTTTAGTCACTCCAGTCATGTCCAAAGGAGTCTTTGGGACCCCTTTTGCGACCCCTTTTCTTGGCAAAGATACTGGAATGGTTTGCCATTTCCTTCTCTAATTCATTTGACAGATGAGGAAACTGAGGCAAAGGGGGTTAAGTGACTTGCCCAGGGTCACACAGCTAGTAAGTATCTGAGTCCAGATTTAAGTTCAGGTAGCTATCTTCTTAACTCCAGGCCTGGTAATTTATTCTCTGTACCACATAGCTGCCCCTTTATAACCTGGCCCATTCCTGTCTTTCCATTCTGCTCCCTCCCTTCCACACAAGGATCCAGTGACTTTGGCCTCATTACTGTTCCTCACACAAAACAGTCCAGCTCCTGACTGTGCATTTTTATGGGCTGTCCCCCATTCCTGGACTTTTCTCCTACCTTACCTCCACCTCCTGGCATCTCTGGCTTTCTTCAAGCCTCCATAACTTAATGCTATCCCTCTTAGATTATCTCCAATTTATCCTTCATGGAACTTGTTTATATATAGTTATTTGCATGTTGTCTTGCCCCATTAGATTGTGAACTCCTTGAGCAGAGAAACTATTTTTGCCTTTCTTTTTATTTCTGGTGCTTAGCTCAGAAGCAATTAATAAATGCTTATTGGCTTACCTTGATTTGACAACTTATAAGCAAAAGGGAACCCACAGAAGACACTCTTGGACATGTGCATGCACACCTAATAAATTTTTATGCCCCTCTAATTGTGGGCGCCTCAGTGATTGTTCAACTTTCTGTTGACATACTTAACTGCACATTCAGTCTGCAGAACTTGTAAGGTCCAGTAGAACTTACAAGTCTCCTGTTAAGCATGAGCTAAAATTCTCCCCATCTCCTGAATTAGAAGCATTCATTAAGCCAAAACTATATTTTCTAATCTTCTTTCTTCATAGGTGTATGATACTGTGAAAATGGCGCAAGATAAACTAGATATAGTTCTCTATTTTTATGCTTCTATGTCTGAGAGATGAAACCTTCTATCTCCAGCAGAGATTAGGAAACAGGAAAGAATAAAATTTTTGTGGGCCAGAATGGGAAAGTTATACTGCATCTCAATTCTTCCTATTTCGTGTTTCTATCACCCGACTTGTACATTTCCTTTCAAAGAATCCTTTTCCTTCCAGACTCAGGTCAAGAGAATACCTTCTCCTAGAAGTCAAATATTTCCTCTCCCTTAAATTCTCTTAGAGCACATAATCTGTATCTATTTTTTGTTACTATTTTGTATTGTGCTCATATGTGTATCTATATCTCTTAGTAGAAGGCACTTGAATGCATAGACTGTTACTTTGTTTCCCAATCAGTAAGATTTATTAAGTACCTACTGTGTCTCAGAGCTCTATACTAAACTCTCAGAATAAAGATAGTTACTAGACCTTCGATTTCATTAGTATAGGAAACTCCTGGGTTAATTCTAGTGAAAATTGGCAGCTTCTTTGCAATTTATAGGCTTACAGAGTTACCCAGAGTACTGAAAAGTTAATTTGTCAGGGTTATATGTATCAAAGGTGGAATTTGAACCCAGGTTTTCTTGGTTTCAAAGTTGATTCTGTATTCACTACTCCCTTGAGATAGTCCCTGCCTTCTATCAAGGAGTTTACACTTGACTGAGGAAATAAAACATGTTAACAGAAAAACAAATACAAAATATACACAAGATAAATGCAAAATGATTTTGGGAGGTTGCATGTTAACTGCATGGAGAATCAGAAAAGACCTCTTAAAGTAGGGAGAATTTCAGCTGAAACTTTAAGGGAGATAGGGGAAAGAGGGAGGGCATTCCAGGCATGACAGAGTGTCTGTGTGCAAAGACATACAGTTGAGAGCTAGAATGTTGTGTATGGGAGCAGCAAATAGATGATCTGGTTCACATGTCTAGTGGGCGGAGCAGACAATATATTCTTGGTGACTTACCTAGGCTTTGCACATGGCAGATGCTTAATAAATGTCGATTATTAAATGAAGTTTTGAACTGTCCCTATTCAAATAGAGTATTCCGAAGCCAACCATAACATTTTCATTTTATATTCTGTTCAGAAATGGATTTCCACAGAATTGGAATTACAGCAGAGTGATAAAGGATAAGACCCTGGGGTGCCAGTATTTAGAAGGACCTGGCAGCATTTTTAGCATTGTAGAAACAATAAGCTGGCTTTCTCTACTGGTCACAACTCAGGTGAGCTCTTCCCCACCCAACCAGAACAACCCCTCCCCCCACACCCCATTGTTTCAGCTGCAGTCCTCGGAAGTGTTTGAGGACACATTTTTGTCTTTTGTTCCAGGAACATTTTGTGCTACTTTCCCTAGGTGAAAAAATTGCAAGTTATCACACTGGCTCTCAGGTTAATATTGCATTTTTTTAAAATTAGCAAATTGCCAGAATGAATAATTACAATGTGTATTTGCCAGTTGATAGAGCACAAGGAAAAATTACATTTAAGCAAGAAAGGTTTAAATAAAATCAAGTCATAAAAATGCTGAAAGGCGGCACAGGCAAGTGATCAGGATGGCACAAATTTTTCGCTAGACTTGAAATATGTTTTTAATCTATTTTTTTTCCTTTTTAAAGACCTAAGGCCAGAATGCTTTAAATACTGTTATCAGGTTTTTTATGTCTTATTAGTCATTGGTAAAGTTATTTTTGCCTAGCTTGTGGCTGTAATAAGACTTACAAAATGGACCTTTTAGTATGATTTAGGCTCAATTACAATGGCTTCTATTTAATAAATGTAATATATTTTCTTAATCGTGATGTTAAATCAAAGTGTTATCTCTTCAGATCTGAGTCCCAATCATTTTACTAGTTATGTAACCTTGGGAAAATCACTTAACCTCTCTGAAGCCGTTTCCTCCTTTGTAAAATGGAGACAATTATATCTGAATTACTTATCTCACAGGGTTGTCGGGAGGATCAGGTTTGGCAAGCTTTGGAATTACAAAATGATATATAATTCTTGGGGGCCCTACTAAAATGCTGTCCTCAGATCTATGTCACAGAACAGGAAACCAATTGCTTTTGGTGGCTCAGTAAGTAAACCTCTTTGGGGTAGGTGTTTAAGACAAACCTAGATGGTGTAGAATTTTACCATATAGTGAAACACTAACCTTCTTGCTCTTTCTGCTAACTAATTTGTGTTTTAAATGGGAAATAAAGGCCATTTCAAGAAAATTTACAGAAGTGAATCAACATATCAAATTGTAAACTTTTTTTTTAATTTAAGAGGGTTGTATAAAACCAAAGTTATAAAATGAAGGAGACTACACAATTAAAACTTATGGTTAAAGGGAGGAGATTTAATATAATCAAGCTTTTGTAAAGATTTGTTTCTATGGCTAGTATCATGGCATTAGTAAAAGGATCAATAGTACTCTTCCTGATAGAAGCCCTGGGTTGAAGGCCTGGGGCTGCCTTTTTCTAGCTGTAGCCTTAGGAAAGTCACTTTTCTTCTCTGAGGTTCAGTTTCCTCATTGAAAAAAAGATAATAAAAATACTTTTACTACCTCCTTCAAGGATCAAATGAGTAGTGTGGGAGCTGAAAAATGCAATGTAAATATAAACTATTATCATCATGTATAACTTGGAACTGTGATTTCTTGAAGCCCTAAGACATGCCTTAAAATCTAGCTTTATATCAGTCACACAAAGGAGATTCATAAAGGTTTGCATGCACAAATCAGACTCTCTTTTTATATTTACTTGCATAATTGACATTTTGAAACCTAAACTGGCACTGAAACCTTCTTCTCAATATCTGAACATTTTGTATGTTCTTTCTGCAAATATGAATGAACTGATTTCTGTTAACCTTAAAGGTTCTGCCTGATCCTACAAACCATTTTCCATGTGGTCTTCACTCTGTCCTTCTGATTGTAGGATGCGTTCACCATCCTGATGAAGTACATTCTAACTATATGGTTAGTTATGAAGTAACTATTCATTGTACACTAATAACTATACACTGTGAACTCGTAGTCAATGTCTCAACAGAGTGAAAGTAGGTAGATTAATTTATAAAGCTATAGTGATTTGTGGTACAAATACTATGCAAAGCTGATTTGGGGGGAGGCAGGATGGGGAAGTTGGTCCATATCTATGATTTTATCAAGGAAGGAAACTCCTTTCACAGATACCCACTGGCCTTCCTTCTATATGTGGCAGGGTTTGGGAATGGTCACCTCACATGAAGCCTGGCATGGCCTCGGGTAGGCTGTGATGTACACTATACTAAATGACAACCACTCTAACCCTGACACCTGTCTCCTTCCTACTGGTTCATTTCTTTAATAAGACTCAACCCATGTCCTAGGGCAATCAAAGGGTAGGTTCTGATATTTCCTCATAAATTATTGGAAATACACAATCTTTCTCATTAATTAATCAGTTAGCTCTGAGCCCTCACCCCAGTTTATAGATAAAACAGAGAAAATTCATTTCTCACATGCTTTTAAATCTCTCTCTCTCTCTCTCTCTCTCTCAACCCCCCGTGTCATAGGCTTGGCCTATCATCAGTTTATGCTCAGAGTTACAAACTATACAAAGAGTATTTCAGCAACTTATCTGCTATAAGAAAGGTAACAGCCAGAACTGCCCTAACCATCAATTCCAACTGCTGGATTCCCCACAGCTATAGAAATAGAGACCCTAGAAACACGGCTCTTGGGATGTCAATCCAATAAAATTTCTCTTAAGTTTCTCACAAAATGTCTCTTCATAGCCTTTTTCCTTGACATGGAATTCATTCAGTCTCTTAGTCCTCTACTTCACCCAGTCTCTCTCCAGATATGACCATGAACTCCATCTAGAATGTGTTAAACTAGAACTCCCCAATATTATCTTCTGTGGGAGAGGCTAGGGCTACACTTGCATTATTTAATTGTTTTCAAGAGTACCGGGAAATTAAGTGATTTGCCCTTGGTTACAAAGCTAACATGTGTCGGAGGCAAGGCTTGATCCAGGATGTCTGGCTCAAAGGCTAGTTCTTTATCAATTTGGCCATGCTTCTTCTCAGATAATCCTATTAATAGGGTGATTTTGATAGTTTTTAGTTAAGAGTCTTTATTTTCAAACTCTCTTAGCTCATATTCTGAATTTGGTTCTTGTGGTAGGCCACTAGTAATTCTTCTCTCTTACTACGTTACTAACTCTCTTTTTTTTCTTTTACATTTGTACATTGTCAAAGACTAACATTCTTCATACTGCTTCTTTCATCATTTTCATTTACGTTTGGATTATTGAAACGAGTTCTCCTTGGCATATAAAATATAGACAATAACTAGCAACCTTTGAGGTAGTTAAAGGGGAGTTTTTAAAGATGCTGATGGTGTTTACTTCTAAGTTATCTGGTACATATAGTATTTATGGTAATATTGTTAAAAGAGGGAGAGGAGAAGATCATTTCAGTATTGTCTAGTAAAATATTCCCTTTTGAAGAAAAAAGGTAGAACATTTTCTGGTTGTAAAATATTATGCCTTTTAGTTGAATGAAAATTGATGTATATGAGATATATATACACATATACATACATACATAATAACATACATATATATGTATATACATATACATATATATGTATGTGTATATATGTATGTATGTATATGTATATATACATATATATGTATATATGTATATGTATATATATACATATATATGTATGTATATATACATATATATGTATGTGTATATATATATATATAACAGTAGGAACCATTGGTAGACCCAAGGAACTGGGGCACTGTACCCTCTTCATTTCTACTGCACCCTCTCAGGGGCAGCTAGGTGGTGCAGTGGATAGAGCACCAGCCCTAGAGTCAGGTGGACTTGAGTTCAAATCCGGCCTCAGAAATATAACACTTACTAGCTGTGTGACCCTGGGCAAGTCACTTAACCCCATTGCCTAGCCAAAAAACAAAAAAGTTATATAGAGGACCCTCTCTGTTCTAGATCTGTACGATGGAGGTAGAATGGGTTTAGACCTGTGGGAGCATTACCTCTCAGAAGAGAAGTCAGATTCCTTTTTATCACATTCTTTTGTCCATTATTCACCCTGGGGAAAATTTCTTTATAGTTTTGGCTTTATCTTATATCTAGTGTCTCACCACAAAGGGGGAGAAGTAGAAAGACACTCATTGTACAATATTACACAGGTATGGGACAGGTAATTTTCTCCACACACACACAAAAATGATAAACACAAAAGACTATCACAAATGAAATGGATAACTGGACCCTTATTTATCCCAATCAGTATTAATCAGCTAGTGATTTCATAGGAGTAGTGATGGTTACTAATTATTAACATTATACTTATCAATATACATTTAGTTAATCAATTAATACATGTACATTCAGGAATAATTAATAGGATAGGTTCTTTCTTATAAAAGGCCCCAAACTGTAAATTACAAAATCCTAAGTTCACTTGCTTGTTATGAAATTTACTTGCTTAATCGTAGAAAGTTAACTAGAGGACCTTTCTTCCTGCTGAGTAGGAGACCAAGCCCAGTGGGATAGAGGTGACTCAATGATATGGAAAGTCCTCCAGGTATTTCATTGATCTTCCGCCCTTCACCATCCCCTTATTGCCCAACATGGGGAGATGGCCATGAGCATTTGACCAGTAGATGGCCTTGTTTGCTGGCCTGTGGCCTGCCTTTCTACTGGCTCATTGGCCCATGTAGATGTTTTGACATCTGTTCATTAGCCAAGTCCTTGGGTCTGCTCGTGAGCTCAGTAGGACCTCCTGAAAGGATGAGATAGGTCTGTGAAGGTCTGTTCATCAACGTGTTTGTCAATCAGTGGTGTTCTGTACCTTGTATATACCCTCTTGGAGGATCAAGGACAAGGTCTATCCACCAATGAGATCCTGTGTTTTTAGCTTACTTCATCTGTATTATCTGGATATTGAGTACTATAAAACTAAGGCCCTAGAGGAAGGGGCCACTCCATTTGTGAGGAAGATCTGGAGTCCTATTCTTTTAATAGTTTCCTTTAATAAATGATTATTGGCTTGGAACTCTACTTCAGTGGTTTTTCTTGAAGATTGGACATTTTGGGGCCCACATATTGACACAAACTTAAACAAGCAATGTAAATAAGGGCAGTTATACTTTCCCTGGAGGTTGAGACTTAAATATCAGAATATGAAACAGTTCACAGAATTGCCGAATTGATATTT